TTGGATTTGATACATTTCCCCGTGGAGTGGTTATTAACTAGACTCACGGCTCCAGGGCACGGACCTGCTATTTGGTGTAAAAGCCTACAGCCATTCTGTGAGTAAGTGCTGCCAGAGACTGGTTTATGGAAGAGGAGTAGAGACCAACGGTGGCCTAGCAATGCAGGCCTCTCTAGCTCCAGTGCCTCAGTCTTAGGCACCATACAGATCTCTTCCTCTGGGCTCCACTCACTCTGCCCTGTGAAAGGATTGCTGTGGTTTCCAGTGGCACTTCCCCATGGTCAGTGATCACACTGGATGGATGTGAAAGTGTATCTGTATTATATAGATATGTAAGTTTAATGCGGCCCATGTCCCAGGAACATGCTATGGTCTCCAGGCAGTACTAGGAAGATTCTTTGGATTCGTTTTCTCTTATGTCCTCAAGAACAGACTCTCTCTCTTACATCTCTATGGAGACTGTGTGTATGAGAAGTTGTTGCCAGCAGGTGGGCAGAGGGCGGAGTCACTCACTCACTGTTGAAGTCAGCTGTGTGCTGAGTGTCGACAAGCCTACTGTCTCACTGGTGAGTCCGAGGCTTGCAGAGTTTTGATTTATGAGGGCGAGAGGAAGTTGGGTGATCTTTTGACTTCTGCCCCAGCCTCAAGCATTCATCCGTCTCTCTTTAGGTAGACAATCTACTAACCAGGATGGTGAACAGGACCGGCAGGGACATGTGATGGTTTGTTGGCTGAGGGGACAGTAACAATGTGTGTTACAGTTAAAAGGTGTGGTGCCCTGTGGCCGGCCATCCTGCAGGGACACTTTGTTTAGGAGGCGACCTGTTAGCCTGTGCCCTGCACTGACTATGACCTTTTTGCAACTGGGAGTTGAGTCTGGAAGCATAGCAGGACCTGATGGCACTTCATCTCGGGTCACATGATGAACATCCTTTTTTAAAATATCTCACTGCCATTAAATGAATTCAATGTCTTCCAAGCCATTTCTTCTCCCTCCCACTCCTGGTAGCCATGAATGAATGTTGGTTTCTGTTTACTTGCTTATTTATTTTTACTTGCTTATTTCAGATGATTGAGATGCTCAGCATAATGCTTTCCAAGTTCATCCCTCTTACGGCGGCGTGCATCAGTGTGAGCCTTTCTGGGGGCATGCTGATCCACCATAGGCATGCTCTGCCTTTGATGTATGTGAGGGATGTGACCTCCTTAGCAGGAGGTAGCAAGAATCTACCTCCATGTCTGCCCAGGGGTGGCACCTGTGAGACGGGCCAGACCTGCCTCCGCCCTCCTGTGCTTACCAGGACACCACCCTTCCCTGAGGTACACTGCTTTGCAGGGCTCAGTGATTATCGCAGTGGCCACATGGACCTCACACAATATGCATGATTATGGAGTTTATTAGTAAAGCTAACTGGAGCCCTGGTGACGTAGTGATTATGAGTTGGGATGTGATCCAAAAAGTTAGCAGTTCAAAACCAGCAGCATACCAGAGGGAGAAAGATGGGACTTTCTACTCCTGTGAGAAGTGACAGTTTTGGAAACGCAGGGGCAGTTCTCCCCTGCTCTATAGGGCTGCTTTGAGCAGTCATCAACTGATGGCCGCGAGTTTGGGGTCTGTTGGAGGGAAGCTACCAGGCTGTAAAGTCAGGACACTTCTCTGGTAGGTGTGGCACCCCTGCCTCTGCCTGGCTCAGGCAAATATTACAAAGCTCTTTAGAGCTGCTAAATGTCCCAAAAGTGCCCTCACTCTGCAAACTAGCTTCTCTCCTAGAGGCACTCAGCGTGTTACTACTTCCAGGAGCCTGGCAGCCTGCAGTTCTGTCTCATGGTCTTAGCGCTGCCTCTGCACAGTGATCACAGGCATGCTTCGCCTCTCGTTCTTTCTTGTGGGGATTCTCCATTCTTGTTTCTGAAATGCCTCTCTTTCTTGATACCCATCGGAATGGCAAAGCTGACCATCCCTCTGTACTAGAGTTAAATATGCCCTCTTTGCATGGTCCCACCCAGTCATTTGGTGGGCCTTACAAAGGCTATGGATAGAAGACCCATACCAAGTCATTTGGTTTCCCTACCAAAGCCCCCAAAACAAACTCACTTCCACAGAGTCGTTTACGACTCACAGACAGAGTGGAACTGCCCCTGTGGGTGTCTGACACGAGCAGAAAGCCTCGCCTTCCTCTGGTGGAGGGACTGGCACATTCCAACCGCTGACCTGTGGTGGGCAGCCCGACACATAACCCACTGTACCACCGGGGCCCTGTCAAAAAGTATTGCTACAAAATCCTAGAGACCTTTAAAAACAAACAGAAAAATGAAAATGTGAAGCTCTTGTTTCTTGGCATAACATCTCCCTCAGATTTATACATTTTCCAACACACTACTTGGTGTGTGTGCCTCGATTCCAGCACAGTTACCTATGTGCTGGAGCACAGTTGCCACTCCCCTGTTTCACTCTTTGCGGGCCGGGCCTGGAAGCGGGTGGGTGAGGAGTGGGGCTGCTAACTGAAAAGGCCGCGGAAGCCCCTGCCACTCCGAGGGAGAAAGATGAGGCTGTCTTCTCCCATCAATACTGCCTCAGAAACCCGCAGGGGCACTTGAACTCTGTTCTGTAGGGTCACTGTCAGTCGGAATGGATTCGTTGGCAGAGCTTGTTGTTTTGTATTGGAGTTTGGAGTTTACTTTTTATGGTGAAAGCAAATCCGTTATTCGTTGAATGATGCATCTGTCTGGTTTTTGTCATATGGATTCCAGTCTCCACCACTGACCTCCGTCTCCTTGCCTTCCCCTCACCTGAGTGAGTATGTGTCTGCTCTCTTGTCAGTGACTCACCTTTCCTTCCCTTCCCACCCTGTTCACCCCCAAAGACTGCTTCCGCTAGGGTGAAAACCTTCCGGGGCTGTAAGTACTGAAGTCCCCACGCACTGCATGTCTTTTTGAGATTGACTACTTGTCCTCCACACGGTGATCTCCAGGTCATCCTTGTCTCATTATTCTTCCACGCAGCGTGCAGCCGTGCAACCCCTCCTTACCCCGTGCAACCCCTCCTTACCCACATCACCCCCCTCTGACCTGTCCCCCGCTTGCTGTGAGAGTACATGCGTGCACCTTCCTCTTGCTGCTCATATTCCCACAGTGGCCTCCCTCCCATTCCACCTTGGTGTTTGAGTGCCCACTCTTGGTGCCCTGGGCTTGAACTTAGCCGCTTGTGCTGGGGGGGTGATGCTGGCAATGCGCACTGTCCTGCTGAGTTGGGTCTCTGGTCGCTGCTGATCCCTGACGAACCTGCACGCAGGCCTGTGCCATATCCAAATGCCAGTCTGAGCATCCTCCCCAAGGGGCTCAAATGGCATTCCTTGGATGTGCTTTTTGAGTTTGGGGGCAAAATTAAGTCTGTCGGGCGAGAGGGGGCTGGGAAGTGGTTTCCCAATGACATTCCCTCCGACAGCTCTTGCTAACCTAGAAGAATGAGCAGGTGTGATGTTTGGGTGGAAAAAAATCCCTCCCTGCAGCTTTTCTGACCTCTCCCCTCATCATTGCACTTAGGTTTTCTCACAACCTCTTCATTGTAGCCCTTTGACCCCTTTGGAGGCCCACAGCCTTCTGAGCTGACTTCTCTGCCTTGGATCTAAGTGGCCCATCAACCCCCTGGAAAGCCACTGCCAGGGAGTCAAGTCTGACTCACAGCAACGCTGAAGGACAGGGTAGAATGGCCCCTGCGGGCTTCTGGGATGGTTACTCTTTATGAGAGGAGAAAGCTGCCTTTTTCTCCCAGGAGCAGCTGCTGGTTTCGAACTGTTGACCTCACAGTTAACAGCCCAACACGGCTGTGATAGGACCCTTTTGTTTGAAGGTACCCTAAGGAGACAATTGGCATTTTGACTCATGGCGGCTCTGGGTAGGGTTTTCAGGGTTAAAAATCTTTCTGGGAGCAGAGAGCCTCATCTTTCTCTAGTGGAGTGGTAGGTGGGGCTGAACCCCCGACCAGACATGTCTCCTAGGTGTCTTCATGCTCCCAGCTGCATGCAGCTGCATTCCAGGTGCTGGAGACGGGCTGCAGTAGGCAGGCCCGCCCTAGGGGGATTGGGAGGTGGGGGCATTGTGACCATGGTTGCAGCCAGCACCTTTCACTCTCTCCTAGTTTTGTTTGTTCCTTTCTTTTTTGAAAGAATAAATATGCACGAACAAATACCCTTTGTCAGACCTGCATCTATTCGTGGGCACCTGGTCAGCCTGTGTGTCTGTCTGTCCACGCATCTCCTGGGAGGTCCCGAGGTTGCAGGATTGAGTAGATGACATGTCATCTCTGGCTACGCCTCACCTTGTTAGCCCACAGGGGTTCTGCTGGGGACGTCGGGGTACTTCCGCCCGAGGTACAGGCTTGGTGCTTGCCGTGTGTGCAGGACCCGCTGGCTGGGTGAGAGTGCTGACTCAGGCTTTGCTGGTTTGTGGAGTGCAGTCGATACTGCTCCAAACACATGTCTTCTCAAAGGAGCTTGGGAGTTGGCATTTTTTTGTTGTGGTGGCTCTTAATGCTGTCGTGTTTGTGTAAAGGCCTAAGACCTATGATTCCAGAGCATCTAAAGTGCCCCCGTCCTCTCCTGTCCAGCATTCGTGTCAGGTGACCCGCCCTGGGCAGTCTTGGTCCAAGAAGGCCCAGGTCTGGACGGCGTGCGGCCCCCTGGCTGACCAGTGGGCAAGTCATAGGGCCCAGGTTTTGGCTCTCTGTGACCTCAGCCCTAGAATCAGACTTGTTCTCTGGCTGTGCTCTTTTCCATGAACAAGGAGCTTAGGTGGGAACTGGGAGGTGTGTCCTGCTGCTCAAGGGCGGTGCGGTAAAATTCCTGACTTGAGTCAGTGTGAACTGCTGGCCTGGTTGTAAGTGGGCTATGAAGCACAGAGCAGGCTGCCAGTGTTCTTGCCCTGGGCTCCAGGAGCCTCGTCTCCAGGAGAGAAACCCACCGCCCGCCCACAGAAAGCACTGACCCTCCCTCCCCTTTCAGGGCCTCCAGCGAAGCTTCTGTGGACAGCTGGCTCTGAGGGTGGGGCCAGCATCCTGTTTTCCGCTACCTAAAGGTGAGTCTCACCCTGAAGTGCCTCTGCCGAGTTCTCTAGGACCGCTTTCCCTCAGGCACCCCTGTTGGAATCTCAGTGGGTCTCCTCTCCCCATCCTGTCCTA